TCATCTTTGCATCGAACTCTTCTTTTTTATATTCGTTGTTTCAAATTTATTCTATCGATCGTATACTGCTTGAAGAACATGTCAAAAAAATGAATCCTCTTTATTCATTCTCGTCAGGCGCGCAGCTAAAAGATTACGGGTAACACGTCGCTGTGTATTGTAATTATGCATTTCTTTCGCAAGCAAAAGTATCGCGGCTACTTCAGAAAAAAGGTGTTTTCCAACAGTCGAGATCGATTATGTTAATAAAATAAATTATCTTTTTTGTCATAAATCCACTCTCAATTTTTTTTTTTTATGTTCAACGTACAGGCTAAAAGGTTTATAAGGCTCATCAACTGAATTCATTATAATACGTTTAAGAAAATCGCATTAAGCATTTTGTTGTAAACACCTTTCATCAAGGTAGACGGCGCCATAAAGTATTTAAAAAAATGTTTCACGATTTCACATGACAGTATTCGCTGCGTTCCCCTTGTAAATATTCGAAGCAGCGGCGAAAAAAAGAAAAAAAAAAAAAAAAAAAAACAACTGCTATGAGAGAGATCCTCGATAGGACCAAAATTCGAGGAATCTTCGGAGGCAAGTGACCATTGAAAATTTACTACTGCTCCGTGAGATACGAGGCCAAGTTACCAAGTGATGTAATTCGTAGCATATTTTTGGAATAGGATGCTTTCGGCATGAAACCTCTTGGCACTTTAATAGCAACTCTAGGGAATAGAGCCGTCGATTGAAAAAGCTATCCCGATCTCTTCTTAGATCGAAGAAATCCTCTTGATGATAACAAATATTCAAAGAAAAGAGATATGAAAGATCAGCACCCTCTGTAATTTTAATGAATAACTGTACTGTTGAAGCTCGATTAAAATTTTAATTACTAGCTGAAAAAGTTATTCTTCGAAGGTACAAAATCAATTCTGTTTGATCTATTGATCTACGATCAATTCGAGTGAGAAGAACTTCGAGTAAATTTTCAAATCTAACACATTACTTCTTATTTCCAAAATACAGAACAATTCTATTTGAATGCTCAAGTCCATAGAATGCGTTAAGCGTGCCAAGAAGTGACCAAACGCACCATCTGTCTGGCCCGGTCGATAAAAATGCTCGCGATTGATGACGTCGGATCGTAACCCTGACGGACGACATCATCGTGTCCATCTACCGGGCCGAAGACACGTCGGAGAACTCTGCCGCGGCGAATTCTTGTGCTGTGTTGTAAAACTTAGATTGACATAATTTTAGTTTATACCTTGTATACACGCAATTTAACGATATACGTAATAAACGATAATTAACGAATACGTAATAAAATGTATAAATGATGATGACGATGATGAAAAGACGGTATTTAAACAAAGCGGACAAAAAAAGAAAACGATTAAAAAAAAAAAAAAGAACAGTGAAAAAGAATATAGATGTATATATAGGAGGAAATATTCTGGGGATCTCGCAAAATCTCGTTTACATGCAGATCACGGGTTCGAAGAACGTTCCTGTGGGACGCGTACAGTATCCCGCGAACTTTCTTTTGATCCGTACTCGCATTAACGGGGATAGAAAAGAAAAAAAAAAACAAAAAGGAGAAATGATCATGAAAAAAAAAGCAGGAAAAAAGAATCGGAGATATATGGAACTGATATACGTAATACATGGTCCAGCTCGCGCACGCGTATCGATTGAGCACCGGCCGGCCTTTCTTTCTCGAGAGATTTATTTATGTATAACTTTTTGTCCTTGAGGAGCAACGAACTGTGAAAAACGGAAGATCGTCGACGATCGCTCGCTGTCTCTTGCGAACAGTTGTTCTTTTTTCGTGGGGGAAGCGCCGAAACCCGTACGTTTACGGTCAGGGGTCGTGATTCTAAATTGCTCCGGCAAATTGGCGTCAATTAAGCTCGATAGCCCGTCGAGGGGCTCCGCGTCGCTGTCGGTATGGGTTTTCGTGAAAGTTTCGAGAAAAGAGGAACACCGGCGATAAACGAACCTTCGATTTTCATTTTTATTTGTCATCTACTTACGGCGAATTGTTGTTCAGGTTATTTTTTGTCGTTCAGCTACATCCAAGTTAGATAATCGCACAATTTCGCGAGTTAGAAAAGGTTATCACTTTATCTAGGTTATCTTTTGTACCACGTTGATGATGGAAGTGAAATTTAAGAAAGAAAATATCATACTTTTTCTCATCAATCACTGAACTAATCATATTCAAAACATACACGTAATGAATTTGTCTAACGTCAGCCATGATTATTTTTATTTCACCATTTCTCCACTAGTAGCTCTGTTTGTCAATCGAGGTCGAGATCGATTTCGATTATTAGATCATTCGACTATTGTTAGTTCCGGCTCGTACGCCATGTTGATTAGCAAATTTTCGTCCACTGTTATCGGAAGTTAAAGTGTTTCGTTTCACGTTGTTGATTAGAGTTGATGTTCGTGATAAATCGATTAATTTCACTGGATTTGGGTATTATTTTTGCACGTTTCCCAGTAGGTAAGTGAAACATGTGCTATGTTAATCAGTGATAGCATCTATGTAGGCCAGGTAATGGCCGGCAAGCGTGGGGTGTGGCTATCGAAACAAAGGAAGTATTTATTATCCTTGCGTCATAGTATCAACTGTTACGACACAGTGGTCAATAGTGCAGGCGAAATTTCACGCATAAATGCCTGCTTGACAAACCGTTTTCAGAGACTTTTCGCGGGCACTAGGTGAGCTACATTAATCGTCGTTAAACATTTAGTTGATTGGTAAAAGCACATTCACATTGTGTCTCAATTCATGATAGCATATGCTCATAACAGAAAGTTGAACCAATCGATCGGAAATATTCTTATTACGGTTTCTGTGTTACTCGAGATCCCGCTGTGCGT